CCTGGAGCTGGCACCCTGAATTCAGACTTCTAGCCTCCTAGACTGTGAGAGAATTAATTTCTCTGTGTTAAAGCCATCCACTTGTGGTATTTCTGTTATAGCAGCACTAGATGACTAAGACAGGGGGTGACACCATGAGTTACTGCCCTGGGTGAAACCAACCCTAGTGATGCCGCTGCATGGTAGAAGATATGATATAAGTATCAAGGAGAGGTCATAGGCCCAAAGCTATGGTAGTCAAATGGATGAAATGGTTTTTATTGGAGGACCAGTTGGAGGGTGGTATTTGAGTGGGTTTCCACTGGCATGGAGGACAGTGGGGTGGGGAGGAGAAGAGAATTCTGAGGAAAATGATAGAAGAAGCAAAGGCACGTTGGGGAATCACGAGTAGCCTAGAGTAGTGGCATCACTGCCTGTGTGTGGGGTGAGAGGAGGGAAGGAGAGGGGGAGGAGGGGGTGAGGAAACGATGTTGGAAACATGAGTTGAAATGGATGGTGAAAAGCCAGGGATTCTGAGCTAAAACCCACTAATTTTATTTTCCATAAACTGGTGATGCCATTGAAGGATTCTGAAAATAAGGGAGAGAGGAGCAACTTTGCATTTCACAAAGATGTCTAGTAAGAATACGCAGGCTGGATTGGAATGGGGTGATGAAAGTCAAGGTGAAATCTTGAATAGGGACAGTGGTAGAAAACAACAAAGGAGGAGTCAAAGGTATCGAAGACAGAATCAGTAGGATTAAGTGATGGACTGGATGGCAAAAAACATGTTTGGAAATACCAGCGCGAGTGTGATCTTTCACATCAGAGATTTACGAATGCAAGCTTTGGAGGCAGGTAGATCTGCCATCAAATCCTGTCCCACCCCTTGCTAGCTCCATGATCAGCTGTAGGTTAATGAGCCACTTGAAGCCTCACTCTCCTCATCTGCAAAAAGGGAGAATGATAGAACTGCTCTCGGAGGATTACTGTGAGATTTGTTAGTTAGTGCACACGCAGGAGTCCCTGAGTGGGGCAAACGGTTAATGCACTCAGCTGCTAACTGAAAGATTCAAGAGGTTCAAGTTCACCCAAAGGCACCTCAGAAGAAAGGCCTGGTGATCTTCTCCTGAAAAATCAGCCACTGAAAACCCTCGGGAGCACAGTTCTACTCTGACACACATGGGGTCACCAGGAACTGGAATGGATTAGATGGCAACAGTTTTTGTTGTGTTTTGCTTTTTGTTTAGAGCACATGAGGAGCTTAGAAGAGGGCATGAGAAGCAAAGAGTATAGTAATGCGCATACAACCTTATTTGCTACCTTTTAAAAATAATAAAAAAATTATAAAAATAATAGAATAATTCTAATAACAACACTGACAATGATATTTTGTAAAAGCTTTTTGTCTTTTTCAAATGATTTTCAGTATTCTTATAATTTCAATGGAAATATTTTCAATTCGGTGTTCACCAAGGCGTAAAAGTTCAAATGAATATGCATTCATTTATTCAACAAGAATCTACTATGTACATTAGTTGATTTGGGGACACTTGAGATACCAAAAAAAACTAGTTTTACCTGCTCTCCTTGAGTTAACAAATTAATTGAAGTGAAAAGCCACAATCAAATGAAATAATCATATATGGTCTTACAGTGGTGTTGAACCAAGTGCCAAAAGGAGTGCCACTAACTGGCTATGAATCAAAAATTCCGAAAAGAACTGCCTTTTCTAAATGATAATTGTCATTATATCTAATATTTTACCAACAGCTTCTCTAGTCCAATTCTAGAGACGTAAGAGTACTGCTTTAAAATAAACATTGTTTATAATGTTAACAACTCAAAATTTCAAACATATGATTAATCTGTCGACAAGTTACATAGTAATAGCAAGATATTTCTTTTATAAATCCTTAAAGGAGTTTGTGACAAAAAAATTTACTTCTTCAGGATTTAATATAAATACGATTTACCCTTTGTTAGGATTCAAATGCTTACTTCATTTAATATAAACAAGTGAAAACTATACACCATAAACTTTAAAAATATTTCTTAGTAGAGATAATAGAAAACTATTTTCTTTAGTAAATCCATAAAAGGCACTGCTTGGCATGGATCACTGAAGCATTTTCTGCCTAATTTACTTGAGAACATTTTTGGCATATATTAAGTTTTCATGTCTCATACAAAAACGTGTCAAATGTTTATATGTTTTTGAAAATGTAAAACAAAGCTTAAAGTGTTCCATCGAATATGCCTGTATTATACATACTTGGAGATATTTTGTTTCATAAATCTCATCCAAACCAAAACAAAACCCACTGCCGGCGAGTGGATTGTGGAGTGAATTCCAACTCATAGCGACCCTCGGGGACAGAGTTAAACTACCCTATAGGGTTTCCAAGGCTGTAATCTTGACAGAAGCAGACTGCCACATCTTTTTCCTCACAAAGCGGCTGGTGGGTTCCTACTGCTGACCCTGTGGTTAGCAGCCCGTTGCTTTAACCACTGCGCCACCAGGGCTCCTCCTAAATCTCATAGACATGTATAAATAGAAAAGAATTTAAAAGGCTATTATCTTGTTCAAAATCTCCGAATAAATCATTTTGTAAAGTATATATTTATTTATATAATATAGTATAAGCAGTAAAGAAAGAAAATAAAAGCATGCCAAAGGTATAATCGGAGCCCTGGTGGCGCAGTGTTTATGAGCTCTGCCGCTAATCCAAAGGTGGAAGTTCGAATCCACCAGCCGCTCCTTGGAAACCCTGTGGGGCAGGTCTACTCTGTCCTATAGGGTTGCTGTGAGTCAGAATCAACTCAACAGCAGTGGGTTTGGTTTGGTTTAAAGGTATAATATCATGAAAATAAAAGTATAATATTTTGAAAGTTTATGCTGTTAAATTAGGTTTTAATTCTCCATATGTGATAACTGAACAATAATAATAATTTTCTGTTAAGACAAACACTAGTGTTAGAAAAAAATCAGTTAGAGCAAATAATGCTTCAGAATTAATCCTAGAAGCTTACTGACTGGACTTCGAGGTTTTACTTTTATTGTTTTTGCCTTTTTCCTAATAGAGAGCGCTGAGCAAGGAAAAAGTTGACTCTGATGTTAGATCAGTCCCTCCAGAGTTATCAGGCTGGGTGGCGACTTTCCATCAGGTAAACTAAACAGTCTGACAAGTTTTCTTTGTAGTTTGAGTTACAGGTGATGATTCCTAAGCCAAGTCCCAAGCTTAGGAAAATATTTATACAAAATGCCTGGAAACCAGGAATACACATTAGTAATATTTTCCCTGATACAACCGGCTCCGACTTGGCCAACCCAGCTTGTGCTCTACGAACAGCACCTCGTCGAAGTTCACAAGAAAAACTCTTAGAGGCGTGTCCAACTCCAAGAAGTAACTTTGGTGTCGGTCCTTCTGTCTCTCCTCCCGGGATTCCATCTCGCTCGTTACTGAAGGAAGGTGGGATGCTCAGGGCGGGAAGGCAGCGCAGCCGCTGCAGCCTGGTCTTCTCCGAGCCGGGAATCACGCTCTCAGTTTACCTGTCCTCGGAAGGTCGCTGCAGAGACCCTTTGCGCTGGGCGTTTACTTTCTCAGTTGCTCTGCACCCTCCAAGCCTCAGTCTGCCAGGTCGCTGAGTCCCCTCGAGCTGTGCGCCCGCAGCCCCGGACCCACTGCCGCACCACCCTCCCGCACCTCGGGGCGCACCTGCCAATCTCCGCTCCAGGGGACCGATTGCGCCCCCCCAGGGCGCCACAGCCCCCGACTGGCAGTAAAAGCAAGAACAGAAAATACCTACCCTGGTGATGATCAAAGGCTGGTTGAAGTCTATACCCCCAGAGAGTCTGAATCCCCAGGGCGCAGGGCCCGGGAGGATCACATTCTGGGGCATGATGCTCCCAGGGAAGGGGGCGCAGCGAGGCGGCCTGCGCACGACAGTGTCCTCGAGCGGGACAGCCACTCCGCTACCCCAGGCAGTGTCCTCGCCCCGACTGTGGCCAGAGCGCTTTATCCCCGCTCCAGAGTGACGTCACTGATCTGCCGCCCTCCCCTCCCCCTCCCTCTAGGAGCTCTCCAACTTTGGAAGTGAGGGCGGGCCAGGCCCGTGGGAGTTCAAGGCTCGCACTGCCTGGGTGCAGCCTCCCAGACCCCTAGGGCGGGCGCGCGCTGGAGGAGGCTTCGGGTTACAACTTCCACCACGCTCTTAAAGTAACACCTGTTTATCTTCTGCTCGAAGCTCAGCGGCGCGCACTGGACGCGAAGTAAGAAGCAGTTTAACCTACAGCCTCAACGTTTGCAATTAAAATAAAACACTGAACATCATCAGTAAAATGGGTTAGTTAGCAGTTTTGAGTGTGCTAATATTTACTTTGTAGCTGTGTGACCTTGGTTAAATTACTTAACTCCCTTGGCCTCCGTTTCCTCATCTGTAAAATAGGAGAAATACCCACCTACCTCATAGAGTTCCTGTGAGAATTAAATGAGTTACTTCTGCACAACCCTGACGCGCACCTTTCCTGACTTTAAACCACGAAGTATCCCCCTTGTTCTGTTCGAACGACTGCCTCTTGGCCTATGTACAGGTTCAACATGAGCACAATTGAGTGTTCCAGAAATCCCATTCTTCCCAGTGTTACCCATAATTTATTATGATCCACACAGTTGAATGCCTTTGCATAGTCAATAAAACACAGGTCAACATCTTTCTGGTATTCTCTGCTTTCAGCCAGGATCCATCTGACATGGGCAGTGATATCCCCGATTCCACGTTCTCTTCAGAATCTGGCTTGAATTTCAGGCAGTTCCCTGTCGATGTACTGCTGGAACCCCTTTTGAATTATGTTTAGCAAAATTTTACTTTCCTGTGATGTTAGTGATATTGTTCAATTATTTCTGCACTGTGTTGAATCTCCTTTCTTTGGAATGAGCACAAATATGGATCTCTTTCAGTTGGTTAGCCAGCTAGCTGTCTTCTAAATTTCTTGGCATAGACTAGTGAGCATCTCCAGCCCTGCATCCGTTTGTTGACTCAATTTGTATGCCGTCAATTCCTGGAGGCTTGTTTTTCCTTAATACCTTCAGTGCAGCTTGGCTACCATTGGTTCTTGATCATATGCTACCTCCTGAAATGGTTGAATGTCGACTAATTCTTTTTGGTACAGTGACTCTGTATTCCCTCCATCTTCTTTTGATGCTTCCTGTGTTGTTCAATATTTTGCCCATAGAATTCTGCAAAATTGCAACTCGAGGCTTGAACTTTTTCTTCAGTTCTTTCAGCTTGAGAAATGCCAAGCGTGTTCTTCTCTTTTGGTTTTCTAACTCCAGGTCTTTGCACATTTCATTATAATACTCTGTCTTCTCAAGCTGCCCGTTGAAATCTTCTGTTCAGCTCTTTTGCTTCATCATTTCTTCCATTCACTTTAGTTACTCTACGTTCAAGAGCAAGTTTCAGAGTCTCTTCGACATTCATTTTGGTCCTTTCTTTCCTATCTTTTTAATGACCTTTTGCTTTCTTCATGTATGCTGAGCAAATAATCCAAAAAATCTGACTATATAAAGAACAGGGTTTCAGGATTGGTGGAAGACTCATTAACAACCTTCAATATGCAGATGACACAACCTTGCTTGCTGAAAGCGAAGAGGACTTGAAGCACTTACTGATGAAGATCAAAGACTACAGCCTCAGTATGTATTACACCTCCACGTAAAGAAAATGAAAATCCTCACAACTGGACCAATAAGCAACATCATGAAAAATGGAGAAAATATCGAAGCTGTCAAGGATTTCATTTTACTTGGATCTCCAATCAACACCCATGGAAACATCAGTCAAGAAATCAAACAATGTGTTGCATTGGGCAAATCTGCTGCAAGAGACCTCTTTAAAGTGTTAAAAAGCAAAGATGTCATCTTGAGGACTAAGGTGTACCTGACCCAAGCCATAGCATTTTCAATCTCCTCATGTGAAAGCTGGACAATGAATAAGAAGACTGAAGAAGAATTGATGCCCTTGAATTATGGTGTTGACAAAGAATATTGAATATACCATGGTCTGACAGAAGAACGAATAAAACTGTCTGGAAGAAGTACAGCCGGAATGTTCCCTAGAAGTGAGGATGGCGAGACTTTGTCTCACATACTTTGGACATGTTATCAGGAGGGACCATTCCCTGGAGAAGGACATCATGCTTAGTAAAGTAGAGGGTCAGAGAAAAAGAGGAAGACCCTGGGCAAGATGGATTGACACAGTGGCTGCAACAATGGGCTCAAACATAGCAATGATTGTGAGGATGGCGCAGGACCAGGCAGTGTTTCCATCTGTTGTACACAGGGTCACTATGAGTCAGAACCAACTCGACAGCACCTAAAAACAACGACAACTGTAACTTCTACACAGGGGCTGGCGCAGTGTAAGAGCTCAATGAATGCTAGGTATTTCTAATTAAGAATGTTCATATACTGTATATTTATGGGTGTATATATAACGTGTTGTTGGTGGTGGTGGGTGTGTTGGACTTATATCGTCCCTGTGTGACAGAGTAGAACTGCTCCGTAGGGTTTTCTAGGCTATAATCTTACGGAAGCCGATTTCCAGGTCTTTCTCAGGCAGAGCTGCTCTGTGGGTTCGAACCACCAACCTTTCAGTAAGTAGCCTAGTGCTTAACAGTTGCCCACCAGGGCTGTTTATATATAATATACATTAATACATATACAAATGTACTTATATTTGTCCTTTAAAAAAGAAATAAAAAGTAAAAATACAGTGCAAACATTTATCTAATCCAGTGAAGCATCCAGAGATACATATGCATAGATGATTAATCAGTATACTCTAAATATATTTTAATTTTGATTGAACTAACAATTATCATCTGGCTCAAAATCAGTCCTTAAACTTATGGGTTTTAATTAGGTTTTGACGGATGGGAGCCAAGTGTGACCAAGGAGTTGAGAATGCCCCGTGGGGAGGCTGCAGCCAGCATGTAAGTGCGAGCGTAAGGTGGACAAAGAGGACCCCCAAACCTGATAGTCTGCACAGAAAAATAGAAGGGATGGAGTATGTATTGATCATCTTGTATGGTCCAGGGCTATAGTATATTTGCTTTACTTGTATGATCTTAGTTCATCCTCATAAATTGATCAGATTGCTATTATTAATCTCATTTATTTTCAGGTGAGAAAATGATTTCTGAGAAATTAAGTAACTTGCATAAGATACACAGCTCATAAGTGGCAGAGCTGAGATGGCAAACCCAGGTTTGCCTGGTGTGTAGATAAAGGTCAGGAGAGTCTGAGTAGGTTCTGTTGTAGTCTTACTGTGGAATCAAGGATTTCTGGTGTTATTCACCAGGATGTTTTGCTTCTCAAGAAGAGGGAGAAGGATGAGGAAAGAGGAGTGTTATGGATTGAATTGTGTGCCCCCAAAATATATGTTGTAAATCCTAAGCCTGCCCTGGTGGCGCAGTAGTTAAGAACTCGGCTGGTAACTAAAAGGTTGGCGGTTTGACTTCACCAGCTGTTCCTTGGAAACCCTATGGGACAGTTCTACTCTGTCCTATAGGGTCGCTATGAGTCAGAATCGACTCGATGGCAACAAGTTTTCGTTTTTTTTTTTTTTTAATAAAAACAAAAGAAACCCATTGCCATTGAGTCGATTCTGACTCATAGCCACGCTATAGGACAGAGTAGAACTGCCTCATAGGGTTTCCAAGGAGCGGCTGGTGGATTCAAACTGCCGACATTTTGGTTAGCAGCCGAGGTCTTAACCACTGAGTCACCAAAGTTCGCTACGCCCTATCCCTGTGGTTATAATCTCATTTGGGAATGGGCTTTCTTTGTCACGCTAATGAGGCAGTATTAGTGTAGGGTGTGTCTCTTTTGCGATATGAAAGAGCAGATTAAGCAAGTACAGAGGGGAAGATACACGCCACGTGATCACCAAGGAACCTAGGAATAGAAGCTGAAAAGAGACAGGGACCTTTCCCCAGAGCAGAGAGAGAGAGCCTTCCCCTGGAGCCAGCGCCCTGTGTTCCAACTTCTAGCTTCCTAAACTATGAGAAAATAAATGCATGTTAAAGTCACCCACTTGCGGCATTTCTGTTAGAGCAGCGCTAGATAACTAAGCCAAGGAGTATGAAATACTACCAAAGAATGAGGGTCCTGGACTCAGTGCACAATGTGGAGTGCCTTCCTGGTCCAGGAGAGCAGAGCTTCAACATGCTTACAACAGAGCAGTCTGTTTGGAAGAGGATTTGAGGCTGATGGAGGAAAAATAAAAGTAGTTCAGGAAGCTGTAATCACAGCGGACCTGCCTGAGGATGGTGTAAATCACAGAATTAGGATTTCTACTTTGCCCACAGTGGCAGGTCACACAAAAGTCCCGAGAGATGGGTGTTTTCTGGTCCCAGACATTTTCCAGTGCCCACCTATGTTGGATTGTCAGGGAAATGAGCATCATATGTTCTTGTCCGTTCTGCTTATGTTATAGCAAAGGGCATTTCCTGTCAGCACTGGCCATCTGCACATACAAACACATCCACACCCACATACCCAGAAATTAATTCAGGAAAAAACCCCAAAAAACCTTGACATGTTATTTGGTTATTTGTGTAATTGTAATAACTGTTTATACCTTGTCTCATGCGCTGGCTTATACAACCAGCTAATAATAGGATTTTAAAACTTTTTTCTGGGCATTTGGCATCATTTAGGTGTAGGCACCATCTATATAATACCTGATTAGTTCTCAAGACTCTGCAGGGAGTGCGGAAAGCAGGTGGGTGAACTGTGTAGGGCTTCCTGCATCCCTTCGCAGGCTTAGAGTCCCCTCACTGTCCACTGAGGTCAACAGCAAAGTGGTCAAAGGTGACTGCAGTAGTAGAGGTGAGAGGG